CCCATCCTTTATGAAATTATAAAAAATATAAGTATGAATTGAAATTTAAAAAAAAATGTTTTGTTATTAATTACACAATGCCAAAATATTATAATTAGGTATGTATTTACAAATTAAATATGATGATTTGGATTTAAGTCCAAGGCCTCGCAAATTATATAGCGCCGGCACTATCGCAGCTAGACTTGTTATTACTACCTACTGCATAGTACGATATAATGTTATTTAGATAGGTCATTAGCACGAATCACATTGAAGACTCATTTATAACATGATATCGGTTCCACATTAAAAATAAGAGCCGGTGGAGTTTGCTACGAGCCCTCTCTAAGCTCCGAGCCCCGGAACTGCAGCACCAGCTCCTCTTCTCACGTCGTGCCTGTAGGACACCAACCCATTCATTAATATTTCTTGCGAATCACGAGATTCAAATATAAATATAAATTTCTTTCGAGTCGAAACTGATACTAGATATTACAATTAAAAATTGAATACATTTTAAACTCCAAAACAATTAGAAAATTTAATTGGTCTTTAAGAATTTTGTTAAACTTCTAAATTAAAATGACTAGTAGACATTTCATTTATAATTAAAACTGTTCCGTAATTTTAATACCTAGGTATATATTATGTAATATGTTTATAAAATAATTGACTGACTAAATAAATAGTTGAATATATGCCTATTAGATACGTATTAGATCTAATATTATAAATTCTACCCATAACAATTATTTTAAGAATTAAATTCAAAAATATTAAATACTCCATTGTAAAACAAATAGTCAGGTATTACAACGGCTTCATTCTTCATTCAAAACCTAAACTAAATTAAACTTTGTTTTTGAACAATATTACGGATGCCGTTTGATTTTCATTCATCAAAATAAACAATAAAATAGATAAATACCCGTTGATCAAGAAGTTGTGAAGGGTTTGTTTATAAAAAAAGTAAGTTTTCTATATTATAATATATTTTTATTTAATATTTCCTTGGACCGACGGCTTGGAATTTCATAAAAAAAAAAAAATGAATAATGGACTCAAAAAAGAAACTAATTAAGAGGCTTAATGGCACGATGGGTATTATGAAATTGACTCGTTAAGGAGGGAAAATGTTGCATAAAAAAACACACACACACAGCAAACGGAAACTGTAATTTTGGTTAGATGACGGAAATTATTTTAAGGAAGGGTGGCTTGTAATTAAAAAAGATTTACGACTGCAGAAATATTCATCTCTTTGGTTGCCCTTCTTTCGACATACATTTCAACCCTTTAACTAAACATAATATGATAATATTATATGCAGAATAATAATTAAATGATTACCTATACAAAGATTTCGGTGTACCAAGAATCTAATGTACACCGTTTGCCTACGGTTTGTTTTTATTCTTGTTCTCATTATTATAGAATTATAAATAAATACAATTAAATATTTTACCACAAAAGTCAACAGATTAACATCGTCGTAAGTTTTATGGTAGATAGGTACCTACTCTTATCGCGTATGTAGGTACCTACTGTTTCCATCTTCATGCCGTCCGGCATAACGAATGATGGAAAGAAGAGAAGTTGGCGCCACGGACTAAGATATTAAAGTATAATATACGTATCTCAGTCCATGGTAGGCACTTAACTATCCAACTATTCTACCTGGTAGATAGATTAGGTAATATAGACCTGGTTTTAGATGTCACCGTTCTGTGTTGATTGTATTAATTGTTGAGTTTCAAATTTATGTTATAAATACATATTGTTTATGTTAAATAGGTAGATATTATTCAAATTGGTATCAATTTATCTTAATCTGCAAAGGTATTGAATAAGAAGGTCGCCGTTACCTATTCAATTTATATTTTTTGATGTGACATTTTGTTGTTGTTTTTTTAAATAATCATTTTGAGAAACAAGATCTAAAATTTCAGATCAACATAAATATATATAAATATAAAATGGTACCCATTTACAATTTCAAAATGTTAAAATGTAAGTAAGTAGGAACCTACTTTTAGTTAATTATTGGTACCTATATAATTATTTGTATGTTCCTTCTTATATTGTTGGTGAATGCATTGGCGGACTTGGAACAGAATATTAAGTGGTGGAGGGGCTATCCTACGCAATACTTTTAATAATATTATTGAAAAATTAATTTTATTATTACCTATTTTGTTTTAATTATAAATTACTGGTGTGTGGGTCAAAGGGAATAAGCTGATTTTTATGGATGAAAATACTTAAAACAAATATTTTATAGATAATTTTACGCCAGGTTGACTGGCGACACTGATATTTGGCTATCTAATTATTTGATAGACCTGTTTACCACTTTTATGGTTGTATCCTAAACATTAATAATAATATTATGCGTCCTATCCATCCATATTGTGTTTAATTAGTTGAGAACAATAAATTACGATCTTAACTTCGAGGTTGAACCGTGATCCGAATATTAACTGGTAACACAGGAGATTCAACATCAGTAATTGAGAAAAGGTCAGTATTTAAAGTTTACGCAGACTTAAGTGACAATATACATTAGTTTATATGAGTAGGATTTACTGTTGAATCTGAGACAGGTTTCTTTTTTTGACTCATGGACATGGTGTTAGTCATTCACGAATGGTTGTAATATAGTTGTTAACATTTCAGGATACAAGTAAAACAAATATATTTAATGACATTTCAGTCAATCAATGTACCAATGAAAATAATTTTTTTTATGTGTCATAATCTGGATATAATGCATTTTATGAATTCAATTAGGTATAACAACATAATATGGCAAAAAATTGTAAAATGAAACAAAAATGGTTATTAAATTAGGTAAATTAAAATGTCAAGTTTAACTTACGAATTAGGTATATACCT